GTGGAACACTCAGTCTAATTTGGTTACTCACTTTTGCTGATGATGGGTGTCCACATGTCAGATACCTGGCTACCAAAACAAGATGCATTTACCCAAACTCACCTTTAAAGAACTAGCATTACAGTCAGTTTTTTTTAAAAAAGTTAGGACACTACTGATGGTAATTCATGTGTGTTGTGCAATACATGCAGAAAGAACCACCAATGATATATTCTGCATGCTACATCTGCTCACTATTTGAAGAAATGCCACTGATGGAAATTTCTTTGTGATATGTCAGCAGTGCTTCCTGTGCATTTGTAGCTTCTGAGCTTTAGACCTAGAGGACCATGTCATAATAATAATCCTTGCATTTGATATAGCGCCTTATCACATCTTTGAAACGTCTCAAAGCACGTCCCAGAATATTTGTTTTGCAAACCTATATGGAACTGAATCGGGGCTAGTCTGTCAATCTGCATTGAGATAGAACAGTTACATACACACTTCAATCTAAAACATACTTGTAAAGAGAATCTTGTGATCTCTTCAACTATAAAGGATAGCAGCTGAATTTTGCCAGGCTCAATAGCTTTTGCCCACACAGTAATTTCTATAACTTTCGCAACTTGGCCTTATGTTTTCTTGCAGTCACAATTCGCTCTTGAAGGGTGGTGATTTATTTCAATATTGGTACCACTTTACAATATTTAGGTCAGACACCTTCAGAATGCCTCTTCGTCAAAATTGATCCTTAAACTTGTTTGGCCACTTATTTCTGAGATCACTCATTTATAGGTAATATTTCTTTCTATTGATCTAGTGAGCATCAACCACCTTAGCACTGAGGAGGTCTAGCGGGTAGATGGAGGGAATCAATATCTGATGGAGAAAGTCAACAGATTTGTTTTGCAATATCAAAAACAGTAAATGTCTGTAGTATATCCAATTGAAGGTCCTCACATACAAAGCCCTCCATGGCCTCGCCCCACCCTACCTCTGCGACCTCCTAACCTCCTACCAACCCACCTGTTCCCTTTGCTCAGCCGGCTCCGGCCTGCTCCATGTCTCCCGACCCACCCGCCCCACCATTGGCGTGAGAGCCTTCAGCCACTCTGCCCCCAACCTCTGGAATTCCATCCCCCAGTCACTCCACCTCGCCTCCTCCTTAGCCTCCTTCAAGTCCCGCCTCAAGACCTTCCTCTTCGACCATGCCATCGGCCACCCCCCTTCCCCTCCCCTCCCTTACCCCTCCCAACCCCAGCGCGGATCTGAAATGCTGTACTCTGTCCAGAGTCTTGGGATGTCCTCCTGACGTAAAAGGCGCTCTACAAATGTAATCTTGTTGTTGTTGTTGAAGACTTTAAACATCAAACTTACAATATTTGTATCACTGAATCCTGAGGCACAGAAGATTGTTGTTCACACAAACTGCAATGGGTTACAATCTAAAGGAGGTTAAGGCCAGACTGAGCCTTAATACTTCAGCCAAATCCTCTTCAGTGCATTTTGAAGACCCCAATATATTACTTTATGCCATGATCACTGACTGCTGCTCACACCACAACTATAGTTTTCACTTACACAGTCCTTCATTTCAATCCTATAATAATGTCAAAAGACTAAAAAACACCGAAACATTGTATTTCCAGCAGTACAAAGAGATGACTTTTCAAGACATTTACCCAGTTTAATATTGTGTTCTTGTGGGTAGCGCTATAAAAGATCATAATAATCCTTACAGTTGATATATCGCCTTGCACTTTGAGTGGGTGTTTCAAAGTGTCCACAAACAGCCATTAAAGTGAAATAACCAATTTTGCCTGAGGGGCTGTTGGCCAGGACACGGGTAGAAACTCCCTTCTCTTTACGAATAGTGTTATAGGATCTTTAATATCCACCTGAACAAACAGATGAGATCTGAACTCAGTTTAGTGTCTCATCCAAAGGAGAACACCTTCAACAATGCAGCACTCCCCCAGCACTGCATTTGAGTGTTAGCTTGAACTGTGAGTTTAAAATCCTAATATGGGGCATGAACCTTCGAACTTGGAGATAATGCTATCAACTGAACCAGGCTGACAGCTAATATAAATATTGCTTATAAATCAACAAGCATGGCTTTATGAAAAAAAAACAGATCAAGTCTCTATGAAATTTCCTCTACACATCCATCTTTATAAAATAATATTTAGATAAAGTAGTCCTGCCATTTCATCATTAGCTCGACTACCAATTTTGGATGTTCAATCAGTTTAATGTAAAGAATCTCAAAACAATGTTGCTTTGTCATCATTCTTGGCTACACTATAAAATAAGACAGCAATGAACATACATTTGTTTTCAAGGGTTACAAAATTCTAGTAGAATTATAAAACAATGAATAACTCAGAAACCGGCTTGGATGTTATAGGTCAATATTTTCCCTAATTTTCTAATAAGGTTCACATTTTTTTTAAACACAGGGAGGGAGAAAGAGTTGGTACAGAAGATATAGATCTGAGGAGAGCAGATAAAGAATGAGTGCCAAAGTTGGCAAGAACTGAAATGGCAACTGCCATGCTTAACCAATGGTTCTCCTGATTTGCTTTCCATTTACAAGGGTCAAGCAATAAAAACACATACCTGTACATCTTTAGTTTTAGAAACCCTTAAAAATAGTAAGTGAGACAGTATTGCTGTAGGTTAAGATGAAGTGGTATTTTATGATTGTCAAAGATGATGCAACAACTTCTGAAAGGAGAAAAAAAATTAATTGTGTTGCACTGTCAATAATGATGAATTCAATCACTGGAGAATGAATGTTACTCAGCATACAGCTTTCTTTGATCTTTAGATAAAGGAGAGCTAAGGAACAAACCAAAAGTCAAGGTTGTCCATTGGTTCAGTGACCTTGAGAGAGAGGCCAGGGAGGTTGAGAAGGTCAGAGTCAGAAGTAAGGAGATGTTGACGGGAGCCAAGGAGGATGGCTTCAGTGTTATTCGTATTTACTAACAGAAAATCGTGGCTCATCCAGACCACGATGTCTGACGGGCAAGTGAACAGAACATCAATTGACCTGGATCTTAAGCAAATTTCCTTTTAACACTACTCTTCTGCTGATTCTCACAACATTAAATTTCTCTGTATTAAACAGCATCTGCCTCCATTTGCCCAAATCTAGATGATCTTAATAATAATCCTTGCATTTGATATAGCGCTTTTCACGTCTTCTAGATGTCTCAAAAGTGCTTCACAGAATATGCTGTAAAGTGAATTGACCATATATTTGTGGGCGAAACGCGGCAGTCAATTGCACACAGCAGTGTCTCACAAACAGTCGTGGATTGAAAATGACCTTGGACAAGTTTCCTTACTCCACACGCCTGATAATAATCCCTGCAAAAACAATAATAAATTTCTAAATACTTTCTAGTATACTTCACTTGCTCAGGACTGAGAATCCTCATTTTGTTTCGCTTTCCAGTTCCTCCTTCCCCCAAAACACTTGAGGCCAATCGCAATGCCTCCATCACGACATTAGTTGAGATCACTTAAAACAAACCAATAATAATAATAATCCTTGCATTTGATATAGCGCTTTTCACGTCGGGAGGACGTCCCAATGCGCTTCACAGAACACACTGTAAAGTGAATTGACTGTATATTTGTGGGCGAACGCGGCAGCCAATTGCGCACAGCAATGTCCCACAAACAGTCGTAGATTGAAAATGACCAATTTATTATTGTTTTTGGTTTTGGAGGGATTATTATTAGGCTCTGTGTGGAGTAAGGAAACTTGCCCAAGGTTTCGCCCTGTGCCTGGAATTGAACTCAGGTCTCTCGCTTGCAAAGCGAGTGCTCTAACCACTGAGCTACAGAACTCCACAATAATTCCCTTTTTGTTTTAAACAGAGATGTTATGGAAGGAGTCCAGACAGCCCAAAACTTATATTTCATTGGTGTCTGAACTATTTAAACTTGCTGTGTTTCAGCTTCCAGTTTTTCTTTCAAAAAACTATAGAAATAGTTGAACAAATCCAATTTTTCCCAAGGAAGGTGCACATTTATGTTTTTTTCATGTGGATGGTTGGAACTGAAATCAGGTTGTTTTGCTGACCCGTCCTCTGTGATTTCATAGGCCTCTAAAATGGAGCATGCAGCAATTATTTTGAGGAATACTTGAGGTTGGAAACAGTTGCTCAGTCTACCACTGCACAGCCTGACCATCACCCAGTTGGCATTTTCACCTGACAGCCAATTCCTGTTAGCAGTTTCGTGAGACCGGACATGGTCTCTATGGAAACAGCAAGAACCTGCCCAATTAATGGTGCACTCTATCATTTGCCACTCGTTTCAAACCATTTATAAAAATTATAAATAACTATGAATAAGTATAAATGATCAGAGATGTGATCAGATAAGATGTGTTACAAAGTGGCCCAGTCATACTGTAAATAGCGATAAAGGAGGCAAAGTGTTCAGTTTGGTGTGAATTTACTTTTGCACAATAACAGAATTGGACCATGCCAAACATGAACAGAGTTGCATGTCTCACAAAGTTTATCTATTAAATAGCTCAACAGGTCAGGAAAGTCTATATTCTGTGTTGAACCTATGAGATCTATGTGGCACTCTGGGTGCTACAATTGGCCTCAGTACCCTGGTTAACAGAAGAAAAGACAACACATTTGTTTGGATGGCAGGTGAAGACAGTTTTGGGCTCATCTATTATGCTTTTTCAGTCATACATACATCGAGCCAACACCCTTCAAGGCTCGTTCATGAATAATGAGCCACTTGGGTAGATAGTGGCGGCAGCCTGTGACCCGTAACAAGGTTAGTTGAAAGAAAAACAACTTGAAGAAAGGAGAATAATTATAGGAAATTCAATCATCTAATTGCATTCCCATGAAAATATCATCATATAAAACTCAGTGCTAGCTAAGGAGTCTGGTTTACTTGATAAGAGTAAAAGAAAATTAAAACATTAAGAGTTTTTTTTGAAGGATCCATTTCTTTGGGTTTTATTGGGGACTTGCCTGTGTTGCTCTGACACGGAGTACTGCAGTGTAGTCATGTGATGTGGCCGGTGCAGACCTGAATGCTTGAGGAGTCACGTAAAGCACCTGAATAAGAATAAAAAGAGTTGTTCATTTCCATGTTACAGCACTCGACTTCTGAATCTATTTGCGAACTCAAAAGTATTGTAGGCAAAGCATTTATGACAATTGTTAGATTATATTCTTGTGTTTTTTTTGAATTCCAAAATGTTTCTCATCGTGCACCAAAGTTACTCTGATGATCAATCTCTCCACGTTCACACAGTCTACTCGCATTAAATCTGGATAAAAAGTATTACACAATCTCTTTGGTCCTCGGTACATGAGGCAAATAATCCTGTTAATATTGTTAAAGAAATGACATCGGAATTATTACAAACAAATTAATATATTGCAATGGAATGTAACTGGTATATTGCATGGTTCTGTATTAAAATGAGATAAAGGCCATTCCATTTGCTGTTTTTTCTAACACTTTTTATTTTTACTTTCAATGAATATACATACACATCGAAGATACCACTATCATAATGCATACACTTTGATACATTGCCATCGTATGTGGACAGACATAACTGTTCAAGTGTGGGTGGGTGGGGAACAAGACTATTGAACTCACTGTAAAAAAAACAGGCCAAGTGGAAAGGGGAGGGGATCTGTGGCTTTAGACCATTACTGAAGCTGCTGCTAGCACTCCAACAACAACAACAACAAGATTTCATTTATAGAGCGCCTTTCACGTCGGGAGGACGTCCCGAGGCGCTGTACAGTTGGGTCAGGACCCGAGCAGGGGGGAAATAGTCAGGGTGAGGGGAGGGAAAGGAGGGAGTGAGGAGGGGGTAGAGAGTCGAGAGGGGAGCTGAAGGCTCGGTCAAAGAGAAAGGTCTTGAGACCGGCCTTGAAGGAGGAAAGGGTGGAGGCGGCGAAGGCACTGGGGGTTAGAGTTCCAGAGCCTCGGGGCTGAGAGGCTGAAGGCCCAACCACCGATGGTAGGGCGGCTGGGGCGGGGAATGTGGAGCAGACCGGAGCCGGAGGAACGGAGGGTACGGGCAGGTAGGTAGGGGGATAGTAGGTCAGAGAGGTAGGAGGGAGCGAGGCCGTGAATGGCCTTGTAGGTGAGGATGAGGATCTTGAATTCGATCCTCTGGGGGATGGGGAGCCAGTGGAGGCGAGCGAGGGTGGGAGTGATGTGGTCGTGGTCACTAGGTAGTGAGGGAACATTTGCAGAGTTAGGCTAATCTAAGTACTGTAATCTCAGTTAGGGTTCGATGTGTTCTGCAAACTTGTTTTTAACCAGAATTCAAAGCCCTAAGTGAGTGTTTTTATTTCCCTACTCCCCATTCCCTTATTCGCCCATGCTTAATATTATAATAATCCCCCAAAATAATAATATGGTCACTGTTTGTGGGACACTGCTGTGCGCAATTGGCTGCCGCTTTTCACCCAAAAAATACAGAGTCAATTCACTTTACAGCACTTGACTCAGTGATGTGATAAAGCGCTATATCAAATGATAGGTTTTTTTATTATTTTTAAGCCTGGAGGAACTCCCATGAATAAATCTCATTCATAATAAAAGTACATAAAACCATCTACAGTATAACAAGGAATTTTTAGCGTGCACTAAGGAACATAAATGAATATAAGATCTTATCCCAAAAAAGGGGGTATTTCATGGATTAAAAACAACTTTAATAGTCCTTATGGTAAAGTCAAACAAGAGAGCCCAGCTCAATTGAGCTTTAAAAAAATAATGGAGTGGACTGGGATATATCAGTTGCTGCTAGCAGCAACTTCAGTAACAGTTTAAAGCCACAGATCCTTTGAAGCATTTTGAAATGTTGACAAATGTCATTTGTAACCAAATGAGGCAACCATTTAGATATCAAGGAGTTGAAGCACTAATTTGTCTGGTTGGCCAGAATATTACGAGAATCCCCCATTTCTTTTTGAACGGTGTCATGGCATCTTTAACATCTACCTGAACAAGCGGACAGGACTTTGGTTTAATATCATTAGAAAATAGCAATTCCGTCAATGCAGAGCTCTCCCAGAACTGCACTGAGTATCAAGCCTAACTGATCTTGTCCTAAACCACAACTTTCTGACCCAGAGGTGAGAGCTCTAGCGATTGAGTCATTCTAACACACAAAGTCACTGATGTATTTTCTCAGCCAGTATAATTTTTGAAAAGGATACATTCACTTACGGCTCCTCGGCCTGATTTAGCATAAAAGTAACTCAGAATTAGACTTGGTTGCACCACAGACACATCCATGACAATCAGATGTCAGTTAATAGGTGTAAGGCTGAGCTCAGTTAGTAGAACTTTTTGCCTCTGTGTCAGAAGGTTACAGATTCTTGACCCATATCCAGACTTTGAACTCGTATAGTCCAGGCTAACACTCAATTACAGTGCTGTTCTTTGGATAAGGTATTAAACCAAAGTTCCATCTGCCCATTCAGATCAAAATTAAGAATGAAAACGTTTAACTTCAGAAACAAGTAGAAAATTAATACTATAGTTACCAAAGAGGTAGCAAATAAATTGGCCAGGGAGCAGGGTGGAGGGAAATGATACAACAATAAGCTTTTTTATTATTTTAGTAGGTTAAGGATATTACATTGGGTTCAGTCTACACAGTAATAAAACCAGCCTATGTACTGGAATACATACATCACTGTTATATTGATACTTTTCAGGGTTACAGTGAGCAAGGTGAAAATTTATAAAACAATGGTGACATTTAGATGCTGAGATAAAGAGTTACAAATCAAACCGTGATATTGTGGAAATTAAAAGACTGTCCTCTACATTCTTGCTACTGAAAAGTTAGATGGCATGATCGAGAATATTTGGATCAGAAAAAACCTACTATACTATAATTTTTTGCAGAAACCAGAATGTTGGCAATGATTTTTTAGTCTTGGTATCAATGTTGGCTCAGATTGTAGTTTTTTTTAAATAGTTATTTTTAGAAAGTGAACTAGAGTGAGTAGTAAGAGCTCAGAGCCCGATGCAGAAAGCTAAGACATAATGTCTCAGTGTACCAGTCTAGAGATGAAACAGAGACATAATTAGAAAGTTGCCATGGACTGACTACATCTATAAACATCAACAGATCAGCAAAAACATCCAGTCAATGTGGACCCACAAAGGAATTGTAATCGATGATCCTCAGACAAAAATAGAATTTAGAACATTTTATATAAATCTATACAAGCATGAATCTATAGTATCCACTGATGATATATAAATATCTAGTTAATCAACCGCTTCCAGATTAGATTCTCGAATCTCACCAATTCTATAAAAAGCTCCACCCATAATTAAAATGCAAAATACCACCCATAATTATCCTGTCTACAGCACAAAGCAGTCAAACGCATGATTAGAATGCTGACATTTTTAAGATGTGAGCAAAAGCAACCATTTCCAAGCAATTTTTTCAACAGCCAGCATATGATCCTCTGAAGTGTGCCTACTACAGATCTATATCTGGGAATCCAAACATCTGGCTAAAATACTAGCATTACACCTCAATATCCAAGTCCCTAAACTAGTGCAGTCATCAGACAAACCCGGTCTGTGGGACATATAGTACTTGTCAGTGACAGTGTCTCTTCAACATCCTCCACCACACTCGAACTCCATAGTTCCTCATCTACATTCCCATCACTCCAGTTCTCATTAGGCTCCACTGGCTCCCAATTTACCTTTCCATGACCCTTCAAATTATAAAACACCTTAATCCTCTCTCTTCTCAATCTTAATTGAAACCAGTAAAAAGAAGCATGCCAGTTTTCCATAGCGGTCCTGGAAACCAGATGGGTTTACTTCCTGCAGTCCAGCTCAGGAGTCCTGTAGCTCAATGGTTAGAGCACTCGCTTTGCAAGCGAGAGACCTGAGTTCAATTCCCGGCAGAGGGCGAAACCTTGGGCAAGTTTCCTTACTCCACACAGAGCCTAATAATAATCCCTCCAAAACCAAAAACAATAATAAATTGATCATTTTCAATCTACGACTGTTTGTGGGACATTGCTGTGCGCAATTGGCTGCCGCATTCGCCCACAAATATACAGTCAATTCACTTTACAGTGTGTTCTGTGAAGCGCTTTGGGACGTCCTCCCGACGTGAAAAGCGCTATATCAAATGCAAGGATTATTATTAGGATTATTATTATGTAGGCAAATATAAATGGGCCATTTGTTCCTGGCTCAAAAACAGGGTAATTAAGCTTATATCTGTAAGATTATATCTGTACATGTGTCCGTGACTTGGAATTTAGTGACACCCTAAACAACTCACCACCCCCCACCCCAACCCATTCAGAGGCCCTCCTGCTTGGCTCCCGCAAGCGTCTCCTCACCTCACTCGCTGACACCCGTACTATTCATGGTTGCACTCTACGCCTCAATGAGCCCAATACGGAACCTCGGTGTCCTATTCGACCCTCAGCTATCCTTCAAACCGCACAATCATCCCATGACCCGTTCCACCTTTCCCACCTCCGCAACATTGCCCACCTCCGCCATATAGTATCCACTATACTATATAGTGTCACTGCAGATGCTGAGACCCTTATCCATGTTTTCATTGCATCTCGGCTTGACTGCACCAACTGCCTGCTCACTGGACTTCCCAACTCTTCCCTCCACAACCTGAGGAATATTCAGAACTCTGCAGCTCGTGTCCTCTCCCACACTAGGCTCTTCAAACCGATCATTCCCATCCTTCCCCGGCTTCACTGGCACCCCATCCTTCAGAGAATCGAATTCAAAAACCCTTGTTCTCTCCTACCTCTGCGACCTCCAAAACCCAAATCAGCTTGTCCGCTCCCTCTGATGAGCGGACACTGGCCTGCTTCAGGTCCTCCACACTTCCCGCCCCACCATTGGCAGTTGGGCATTCAGCATTTCTGCCCTGACATCCCACAATCCCTTCGGCTCACACCCTCTCTTGCCTCCTTCACGTCCCGTCTAAAGATCTTCATCTTTGACCGTGCCTTTGACCACCCTCCCAGCCCCACTGCCCCTGCCCTCCACCCCTCCTGACCCCAATTCC